ATGCAAGAGAATTCACACAAAGCCACACCTAATAAGACGAAGATACACCATGTTTGTTAGAAAACATCACGTTTTCAATTAATAACCAGTAAACGGTTTGCGATTTTAATGGTAATAGATGAATGGGAGCTTCAATCAGAGCTCAGAGAACATTCTCCACCTAATTGGACTATTAGAAAAACTGATATGAGAGAAATGTACAAATTATACGCAAGGCGAAACAATACCCTGTCTTGCATCGGAAATGCAATAGCGATTCCACTATACATTGCTACTAGAGCAGTCCACTAAATTGACTCCGTCTTCTCTCTACGCTGCGACAAACTTCATAATACCAGACCTAACTCATGCATTATAACCATAAACCCAATCAATGAAACTGAAACGATTTATCGACAAATCAATACTTCAGGCAAAAAAAATGATTAGAACCACAGTTGAAAATTGCAGTGTGCTTGAATACCTGAAGTTTATATATGTTAAAACTGGAAAGTGTCGAAATCCCAGCTAACGGACAGAAGAGTTAATCGTCTGCCACGACACTATCATCATCATCATCATCGACAGGGCTTAAATTATTACGATGGACCAGTGCGATAAAGAAAATGTTTAACCAAGCGTTGGTCCTAAGAGAGCGTTGAGTACCTGGAAAAGGACGTCAACGATCAATTTTAATCTATTTGGTTTGTCATTTGCGTTTCATCAAAATATTCAACTCAAAAAGCAAATTTGATCAACTTGGAAAATAAAAATCAGATTGGAATCAGTTATATATTGCAAAAAATGCATTTGAACTAAATTTATGCGATAGTAGAGTTTTGTGATTAAGATTTCCAACAGAGGCCATTATGGAGCATACAAAGGAAGCAAAGCTGCACTTATTACTACCATTAGAAAGGAAGAACCCAAAGTATGGAATTTCACACAAAGATCTTCGTTAAGTAGGACTAGTAGAGGAATGTAAACAAAATCCCGAAGACGAGTGAGTGGCATTCCATTCACTTGTTCGACCAAACTTGAATGCGAAGCATAAATCTTAAGAAAAGTTCTCATTTTTCAAAGCTTCCCATTAAAGAAATGATGTAAAGAATTATGGGAAAAATGAACTAACATCATGACCAGAATAAATAACATCAGCACGTCGCCAAATAGGATTGTTGGTAATTTGATTAGCAATGTAGGTCTTAAAATATTCATGAAGACGAGCCATAAATTCTGTGCCTAAGAAATGAAGAAAAAAACACTAAAAAATTAGACTAATTAATTAAAAAATCAAGCAAAACTCAAATACGCAAAAACAGCTATAACCTGAAAATGTAACGATTTGACTAAGAAACTAACCAGGAGAAATAACGTTGGAATCAAAGATGGTCGTTTCATCTATCTTCTGTCCCTTTTCTTTGCGCTTTTTAATTTCATCGGCAACTTTTTTGGGTCCACTAAAATAGAAAGGAGTTCAAGTGAGTAAGAAGCCTTAAAGCGAAAAATTTATATATTAAGCGCACACGAAACGACGAGCCCTCTGTTGGGTCATTTTGGCACGAGGTGCTACGCCGTCAACAGCGAGAAAAATTGTCTTTCGAGGCTTTATGAGGTTTATAATATAGTTAATATAATTTGCGATCGTTTGAAAAACTTTATCTTCATCGAAAACATCGAAAGCCATTCCGTCGCAATGGGAGGAGGAGTGGATAATACCATTAAGGTCAAGGTACACGTGATCTATTGGAACAACCTAAAAGTAGAAAATAAATGCTTAAGAGTACTTTCAAAATAGCAAATCAATTTAAATTTTGAATACTATCATTGAACCAAGAAACTCAAGAACTCAATAATTATACCTTGAAAAATAACGCAAACAAACTCTAATGCAATAGGATTTTTTGTAGTAAGCTTTTTAGCAAAAAACGGGTAACTGGAAATAAATTTTCAACATACCTCATTATCTTTAATTATTTGATTAATACAAGGATATCGCTGACTAATCCATCGATAAAATTTCGGAACTCCCATTGCTAAATAATAGAAGAAATTCAACTTAACGCATCAACAGACTGAAAGAAGGCCTCAAAATAGCGAGCAGTGTTTAGATATGATAAAACAAATTCTTACTTTTCAAAATTTACTTCAGAGAATAAACCTCGAATTAAAAAATTTTAATTTGATTCTTTGATATTAACAATGTCTTTTTAGTAATATCATATATTTAAAATAGACGAAATTTTAATTCTGTTTAAGAACTGACTTGTCTGCATTTTGTAAATTTTTCATTCAAATGCTAAAATTCAAAGCATAACCTGAAGTATATTTTCAAATTTATTAGTAATTTTATGTAATAGACTTTTTACGGCAAACACCTGTAGGATTATAAAATGAATTCAATTAGATAATTATTAATAATATATAACCGTCCAAAATGTCTTCAAAACTTTAAAACCTTTATTTCATATAATTACTAATTAGTTTTTTTCCCTTTGATACTTTTCTGTTTTTTAGATGTTTCGTTGTTAATGATTCTGCACTGACTTCCAGTATATAGCGGATTGCTACCTTAGTAAAGCCTGACAACTCAGAAATCTCTTTGGCAGACTAGGCTTCCCAAACTAGCTAAGCTATCACCAAGCTATAGAGGGAAGAGACGTACGATGAGTAATACGTTTATTCAGGATGTGACACGCTGGTGATAAGCATAGGACGGAAGCTTTGGCTTTATCAACATAGCGGATTAGGTTAAACAGACAGAGGTTAATGATTGGTCATTGTTTGTACGGTCGCTGTACACAGAGTTATACGGCCGCACCACCCAATCCTAGCGTGCGGGGATGCGATGACGCACAAAGCGATAACGCGTCCCACAAGTTCATCGTCTCAGAAATATCTTGTAATAATTAAATGACTTGTAAATCAACAAAATAATATTTTATACATTGAACCGTTTGTCAATGGATATAAATGTAATGCTACTAACGATGTTAATTCCAGATGGTAAATCTTTATTAAGTTTTGAGTTAAGCAAAGCCTAAATAATCAGAAATATATGCTTTGCTCATAACTTCATTTCTCTTAGAATTCATATTGAATTTGGCATTTCAATTTCTTAACTGTATAGACTTTCTTTTGACTTATTTTTGACTAAGAAATGATATATTGCTTTGCTTTAAACATAGTTAATCATGGCTTTTTCACCCTTCAATTACCCCTTTTTAAAGCAAGTCTCTTCCATGTTTTATTACTAATAGGAGATCTGGTCTTGATACTACTATAAATACGCCCATTTGATATTGCTAGTATTCAGTTAGCTCAAATGATGAAAAGACTAAGGCAGAATGTTAGGAATCGAACGCCTATTTTATTTAACATGGTTTATATAGGAAAGCAACTTATTATTTTGTTGATTATGTGACTTCAAGACACCGTCGTGCCGATAACAGTTTAAGTTCCGAAAAACTGACAAGCTATCAGGTGCAATAAACTTACAAATGTCGATTTGATGGACGAATTATAGACTAACTTAGAAAATTGGTAGCCAGTCTCTTAGCAATAGCAATTAAAGTAAGATTGCTTATAAAATTTTCAATGCACTTTATTCGTCTGTGTGGTCCCTTTAAATGAATTCGTTCTAATTTATAAAATGCTTGTTGGGTGCGCGTTTGGGTTACCTCCACGTGATGTACCCTGGACAACGTATATTCGTACGGCAAAAAGTCTATAATTCGGCATTTTGACTTCTATTTACTATGATTAGCCTGAAACGAATCTATAAGAGAAATCGCTCTCGTCAGGGCAAATCACAATTTCTTCAGATCCTTCAGTGGAGTGCTGGAGGGATGTCACAGGGCAAAAAGAACCAAATCCAGAAAATCCTAGATACCTATGATATAGACATATTCACAATCATGGAAGCAAACATTTCGGATGACAAACTGATGTACTACCAATTCATATCATTTAGTGATGTAGCCATTTTCACAATTATGGAAGCTAACATTTCGGATGACAAACTGATGTACTACCAATTCATAGGTTACACCCTGTACAATCTACCTAAATACCGGCAAGTTGCAAGTCGAATTCTGACTGGAGTAAAATAGGGCCTCATATCACACTACGATCTAATCAAGAGTATGGGCTCGACACAAGACATATGTGAAATAATCAGATTAAATGTTTGGAAATGTCACTTCAAGGTATATGCAGTCTATAATCCACCCCAGAATCGTTTCAAGATATATGCAGTCTATAATCCTCCCCAGAATTGTCGAAATGCAGTCTATAATCCACCCCAGAATTGTCCAAAATTTGACATAAATATTTAGAAATGTCAAAACCACTTCAAGATATATGCAACGTTTGGAAATGTCAAAACCACTTCAAGGTATATGCAGTCTGGGAAATGTCAAAACCACTTCAAGATATATGCAGTCTATAACCAATGTCAAAACCACTTCAAGATATATACAGTCTATAATCCATTGTCAAAACCACTTCAAGGTATATGCAGTCTATAATCCAAAACACAAGACATATGTGAAATAATCAGATTAAATGTTTGGAAATATCACTTCAAGGTATATGCAGTCTATAATCCACCCCAGAATCGTTTCAAGATATATGCAGTCTATAATCCTCCCCAGAATTGTCGAAATGCAGTCTATAATCCACCCCAGAATTGTCCAAAATTTGACAGCAGTCTATAATCCACCCCAGAATAGACCCAACTTTGACATTCTGAACATCTCACACAAAACTGTAGTATAAGGAGACTTCAACGCCCATTCCACCAAATGAGGCTATAAGAATACAAACGTAATTGGAAAGGAAATCGAAGACATGCTAATCAGCAACCCCCTGGAACTTATCTACAGCAATGAGGATCCGGGTACATATTTTCACTAC